TAGATCAAAGGGTTTTTGGATGTGTTGGCAATTACAGTTCTTTTTTGTTAATGGCCCTAGTACATTTCAGTATCAAAGACACTAGAATACTGGATGAAAGTTCCATGAAGGCACCAGATCAACTTCTACATGTTTAATATGTTATGAAGGTGAAGTTGGGAAGATCTTATTAATGGGTCCTTGCCACCAGTTTGTGGAGGACAACCTACAATCCTGGCCACAGTTTGGATTTTTTGGTGACTACCATGGGATCCCTTTGGGCAAGAACTTAATTAGATGTGACCCAATTCATTTTGTGGTGAAATGGCCAGTTGGGTCTCTGTCTCCCTTATTATTTTGTGAATTTATTTAGATCCCCTTTAGGCATGTGTATAATTTAGAAAGCTTCTACTGTATTTGGTTTATACATTACTCCTCAAATGGCTTTTAATTTTAGCCAACTTTCTATACATTTTCTCACTCTTCCTTCTTGCCAGCACTCTCCTGTTGATGTAACCATTTTGTTAAATCAGAAACACAGAGCCAATGCAGAGATGAAAGTCCAAGAGGTCAGAGCTAAGAGCTAAAAACCTTACCCTTCACTACTGCTGCTATCCTCTCCAGCCAAGAGACCTACTTCCTGTCCGTTTGTCTTTGTTTATAGACTTTCTATTCAGACTTCTGATTGGTTGTAAACCCAACCACATGACCTCCTCATCACTGCCGGTCTGTACAGACCTCCAGGTCTTTTATGGTTGGTATTGAGATTAAAGGCATGTGTCTCCAGCCTGGCTGTATCCTTGAACACAGAGAGATCTGCCTAGCTCTGCCTCCCAAGTGCTGGGATTAAAGGCATGCACCACCACTGCCCGGCTTCTGCTATGGCTTGCTATAGCTCTGACCTGCAGGCAACTTTATTCATTATCATACAAATAAAATCCCATTTCAGTACAAATAAAATATCATCACATTTCCCTTTTCTATTTTAATAAAAAGAAAAAAGGAAAGTTGTAACTAATATAAGAAAAACTATATACAAAAGTACAATAACTATATACCATATATACAAGCAATAAATACCTTAAAATGTCTAGTCCATTTGTATTTGACAAATTCAGAGAAAATAATTCCTTTGTCTATCCTATTTTGGTGAGT